TTACTGCAGTGCTATTTACAACAGCCAAGTGTGGAATTAACTTAAGTGTCCAGCAACAGATAAATGGAAGAAGAAAATGTGGTTTATGTACACACAATGAAATACTATTCAGCCATAAAAAAGAAAGAATCTCCATCATTCGCAACAATGCAGATGAGCCTGAAGGACATTATGCCAAGTGAAATAAGTCAGGAAGAAAAAGAAATACTGCATGATCTCACTCACATATGGAAGCTAAAAAAGTTGATCTCGTAGAGGTAGAATGGTGGTTACTAGAGGCTGGGAAGGGTAGAGGAGAGGGGGATAAAAAGAGGTTGGTTAATGGATACAAAATTTAAGCTAGATAGGAATAAATTCTAGAGTTCTATAGCACTTTAGGGTAACTATAGTTAACAATTATTTATTGTGTATTTTTAAATAGCTAAAAGAAAAAAAATGGAGTGTTCCTGTGAAATGATACATGTTTGAGGTTATGGATATGCTAATTACCCTGATTTGATAATTAAACATTATATGCATGTATCAAAATATCACTCAGTACAGCATGGATATGTGCAATTATTTCTCAATTTTTATGTGTCAATTTTTTCAAAGCACCTGAGTAGAAAACACAGAATGGCCGGGTAATTCTTCCTTTACTGTCTCTAGCCCCTGACTTGGTCCTCCTTTCTACCCCAGACTTTGACTTCATTGTGCACAACAAAGACACCCTGACTCCCCACCCCACCTGGGTTCCTTGGCACTCTCAACTCAAACGCCCCCCACTTCCACTCCCCACTTTCCTGTCCATTTCACTAACCCTCGCCTTCGTCTTGACACATAACTGTGCCGCCTCGGACTCTGCAATTCAGGCATTCCCCAGTTTTCACACCTGCTCATCTTTCCAGCTCCTTTACCCAATTGTCCTGGGTGTACCCATAACACCAGTTCTCCTGCCTCATCACAACTTCTGTCCTGATTCTTACTCTGTCCATTTCAGTTCCCAAAAATGTTCCTATCTTTTCTATCCAGATCTCAAATACGGCCAATTACCTCAAAGCCTCTTTCTTTTGCTCCTTGGTCGTGCCTATCAGGAAAACTTCAGATTTCTCTTTTCCAAATAGGTGAATGAGTCTCACTTTAAACATGTGCAGGGATATGCAGAGCTATACAGATTCAGGATGCCAATCATTCATGATTTACAGCTCCAGCACAAAATCCGTCTGCAACCCCCCATTTTTCACAGCAGCGATTTCAACCCTTTCTCATATTCTTTTAGCCATCCCCTCAACTATCCCATTTATTTGCTCAGAAAACTATCAGAAAGAGTATGTCAGAAGAGCTCAGAAAGTCTTGTTTTTTTCAGAGAGACCCTCCCTCACAGTCCTGACTCCACCTCCCCTCTACCTACATCACAGCAGCAGCAGCAGCAGCAGCATCTAGCCCACTTCCTTCACTGGCCGTTGCAATGAAAGGAGGAATGATTCCACCTCCCAAAGCTAATTCCTCCACTAGGCACCAGTTCATAATCCTTGGTGTCCCTCAGGAACCTCAGTTGCTGATCTGGCCCTTCTGCGAGCTTCTACCATTCAAAAGTATATCTAGGGACAGGCTTCTCCTTTGTCCTCATCACTAAGCTCCTTAGAAAGGAGTTACCAACCCTCCCCGTCTTCTTTCCCTTTACTCCCATCACTTCCTAAGTCCCAATAATCAGGCTGTCTCCCCAATAATGCTAACCATGACTTTTCAGAGATACCATTCTAATGACTAATCAATCCAGTGAACTGTTCTTCTGTCCTGATCTTATATGATGTGTCTGCAGAATGTGAGACTGAATCTCTTCCTGAAAACCATTATTCCTTTAGATTCCATGGGATCACTCTGAGGTTTCCCTTCTGAATATTCTTTCCATCTCTTTCCCATTCACTTATTATAGGCACCCCTTATGTAACACACTCCTCTAATTTCCAGCCTAGACCAGCTTTTCCTGCATGCCCTTATGAAATCTATTTCCCACAGACTCGAATATTCAAATGATCCTCATATTTGTATCCCCAGCTCAGACTCCTAAACTGTCAACCAGACACCTGTCTCCATACCTGGGTGCTTTACTGGACCTCAAACTCAAAATATCCCAAACTGAACTTGGCCATGCTGTCTCATTTTTTCCTTCTTCTAGAAGGTATAAAATTCCCACTTGTTAAAGTCAGACAAAACATCGGGACACCATCACCAAGACCTTGCCCCTAGCATAGTGTTATCAGTGGTCTAACTGATAACATCTGTTATCAGTTCCACATCTGTTATCCCTCACGCTATTCTCCAGACAAAAGCCACAGCAATCTTCTAGAAGCCAAATATGATCATTCTTAAAGCCCTCCAAGCCAGGCATGGTGGCTCATGCCTGTAATCTCAGCACTTTGGGAGGCCGAGGTGGGCGAATCACCTGAGGTCAGGAGTTCAAGACCAGCCTGGCCAACAAGGCCAAACTCCATCTCTACTAAAAATACAAAAATTAGCCGGGCATGGTGGCAGACACCTGTAATTCCAGTTACTCAGGAGGCTGAGGCAGAAGAATCGCTTGAACCCGGGAGACAGAGGCTGCAGGGAGGCAGAGGTTATACTGCACTCCAGCTTGGGCAACAAGAGCAAGACTACAACTAAAACACACACACACACACACACACACACACACACACACACACACACACCACCCTCCAATGGCTGAGTTTTGCCATCAGAATAAAATCCAAGCTCCCTGGCATTGTCCTCAAGGTCTTGGTGGATCTAGCCCCCGTGCCTTACTCTAATTATATCTCTCACCACTCACAATGCTTGCAATACCTACTGTCTTCATAAACATGACTATTCATTCTCTTCTCCTTCCTCTCTCCCTTCCTACCTTTCTCTTTCTCACATTATCTTTGCACAGTGCTATTACCACTGCTGGGACTTATCCCTTGTTCTCTTTGCCTGGAAAATTCCTTCTCCAATTCAAGTTTTTCCAGGATGGAAATTACATTTACGTTCTTCCAGTGTGTAGCTCTAACATCCTATGTCTCCTTTGACACCACAGGATATAGGGAAACAATAATCTTACATACGTTCACCGTGAATAGGACTATTACCTAAATTATTCACAGTTACTAAAATTTGGCATTCATAAACTAAAACCCACTCCTTATTAAATAATTCTAGTTAATGTTCTACTAAGACATCTAGCCGCCACATATTACTTGGAAAAGTTGCCAAAAGTTGAAATTCCACCACCAATACTTGATATACCCGATTTTGAGAAAAATGCTTTATCAATTTATTATTGTTACTATCTTGAGTTATAGCTTAAATTATGTTTTTTGAGATGAAGTCTCTGTCACCCAGGCTGCGATGCACTGGTGCAATCTTGGCTCCCCACCTCTGCCTCCCGGATTCAAGTGATTCTCCTGCCTCAGCCTGCCAGGTAGCTGATATTACAAGCACATGCCCACCATGCCTGGCTAATTTTTGTATTTTTAATAGAGATGGGATTTTATCATGTTTGCCAGGCTGCTCTTCATCTCCCGATCTCAAGTGATCCATCAGCCCCAGCCTCCCAAAATGCTGGGATTACAGGATGATGCTAAAATCTTAAAATCAGTGCCTTTAATAATGGATTTCATTTGTGGTGGACTGTCTGATTAACTCCTTAGTGACTACTGATATATATTCATATCAATATTTTTCAATAAATAGATTTTACAAGTTATGTTAAGGTATAAAGAAGAACTGTTTATACTCCTATTGTTAAAGTAATGTTGCTTCAAAGATAACATCAGATCGTTATCACAGAATTATTCTTTTCACTAGATAATGACAACAGGCAAGGTATGTGGGCAACCACTTTGCCTAAATGTAGCTGGTTATGGTTTAAAATAACAAGCTATTTGCAACTTTTATATCATCATAAAGCATCATAAGCATCAGTGTTAGGATCAGTTCTAAGATGTAATTAATAAGTTATTACTAAGATTATTTTTAAAGCTAAAATTTTACCTTCTAAAATTGTTCTGGTATAGAATCAGAGTTATATCTGGGGTGTTACCTTCTCTGTTTTCAAATCCATATAATTTTTAATAAAGAGATATATATAGCACACTAAGTGCCCTTAACCACGGTGGGTGACCCAAAACAGTTACCTCTCATGTATCTCAGAGAAAACATATGGGTGAAAATGCTGATCTAAATAAGAAAAGTATGAGTTATACCATATAAATGGGTATGAATATGAAGGAGGGGCTGTTGACGGGCCTTAGTGCAATGAGAAGGGAGGTAAAATACTAGATTCATTCCCAGGTGCCAAGATTGGGTAGTGTGGTGGTACCTCAAGAAATAGCAGGAAGTTAAAATTGTTCAACTTTGAGTGTGTCAAACTATACTCAGGGACATCTGAGAGGAGAGGTCCATCAAAGAGCTGGCTTTATCACCCTGGAGCTCAGAAGATATGCTGGGGTAAAGGCACATACATGAGCTACTCATTGGCTAAGATGCAGGTAGAAATCAAATCAACCAGGGCAGGTATATAAAGTGAAAAGAGAAAGGAACAAGAAAAGGAATGAGAAGAAAGTCATTCCCTCCTGTTACGATAGAAGTATTTCAGCAAAAGCACGGGGCCAGAACAATAAATGCTTTCGATTCTCTAAGAGCTTTCTGGGGCCCACTCTCATGTTCCCGAATCCATATTTGACACCTATAAAAGCAAACTTTCTCATAAAAATCTAGAGTACATACATGATCCTTCATACTCAGTTTCCATATTGATAAGATATTCCATGATACCACAATGTAGGACCATTCCAGTTATGGATGGTACCTTACAACACAGTCAATTTAATAACTATAAGATGTCAAGTCTTCAAACTACCATCAGCCACAATGATAGGCTTAAGCCTGGCAGTCCATTTGGTCATGTGGACAGCACGGTAACACAGTACATTTTCCATTTCGGGTACTCCAATAGCACTCACTTTTTTTTTTTTTTTTTAAGAAGCAATCAAGAGGCAAGATTTTGACTTCCAGCTAAAGTAGAATATGGTATGCCTTCTTGTATATACCTTATTCTCTTTTTTCTTTTTTTTTTTTTTTTTGAGGTAGAGTTTCGCTCTTGTTACCCAGGCTGGAGAGCAATGGCGCGATCTTGGCTCACCACAACCTCCGCCTCCTGGGTTCAAGCAATTCTCCTACCTCAGCCTCCTGAGTGGCTGGGACTACAGGCGTGTGCCACCATGCCCCACTAATTTTTGTATTTTCAGCAGAGACGGGGTTTCACCATGTTGATCAGGATGGCCTCAATCTCTCGACCTCGTGATCCACCCGCCTCGGCCTCCCAAAGTGCTGGGATTACAGGCGTGAGCCACCGCGCCTGGCCACCTTATTCTCAAACATCATACAGTATCAGTATTTCAAATATCTGCTTTCTATACTATTCATCCAGAATAAATTACCATTTTCAAGCAAAGATTTACAGGATTTCTACGTTTTAGCCAGACTTTGTATGGCAAGAAGGCAATCATTTTACTGAGTACCTACTTTATGTCAGGCATTGTACAGTACTTTACATGTTATCGCAGTTCACTCCAAAACACCTCTATGAAATATGGACCCGCCCTACTACAGATCAATAAACCAGGGTTCAGAGACATTAAATACATTTCCCAAAGTTACCAAGCCACCACCTGGAAGATCTGGGATTTAAGTCCAGGCATATCTGGTTACAAAGACTGTGTTCTTTCCATCATTACACATGTAATTTCAAAACTATGCCAAGGAGGTGCCAGGAATGGCAGAGGCAGAGAATAGGGGCTGACTGTGAAGCTCCAGGCAAATCATTCCCGCCATCATCAGGAAAACATGTTGTAATCTATTTACATGTGGGGTTGCAAGTACAATGGCTGTTGGGGTAGGGGAGCTCTTTGTCTGAAAAAGAGACGTATAAAAATCTGTGTGTTAAACTAACATGATATTGCTGCAACTATTTGCATTGCTGAGAAAAGAAGACAGTAAGCAGCAGGAGCAATGGTGTATGCCTGTCGCAGTCCCAGCTACTCAGGAGACGGGGTGAGCAAATTGCTTGGGCCCAGGACTTTGAGGCCAGCCGGACATAGCAAGAACTGTCTGTTAAAAAAGAAACAGGCAAGGCACGGTGGCTGATGCCTGTAATCCTACTACTTTGGGAGGCCAAGGCGGGTGGATCATGAGGTATAATTTTATATAAGGCAGATGCCATGCTATGGAGAAGATGCATAATAATCATTGATGTATGAGGCCCGGGTTGGAGGCTCTATAACCTGTGGTCCAGGTATAATCATTTTATTTAGCTCACGGCTCATATCTAGAAAAGGACTTGGTGACATAGTTCTTTTTATGTTTTAATAGGATTTCTTTTTGATAAATGAAGCTTATAAATATAGCTTATAAATTCAGTACACAAATGGGAAGAATCATGGCACATAATTCCCTCTGAATTCTCTTGCCTCTGTTCATTACCATTGGGAGTTGTGTCAAGTGACTTAACCTGAGATTCACTTTGATCAACTATATAAAAAAGGATACAAATTCTGCTTAACACTGGATAGAATATACACATTGATTTTTTTTTCTCTTGAACAAAATACTCTAAAATGACAGCAAAAGGGTGTGTTTTTATTTTGTTTTGTTTTAGTTATAAGTACAAAGACAGGAACAGAATAGATGTAACAGCCGATACAGTTTGAATGTTTGTCCCCTCACATTGAGACATAGTCCCCAGTGCTGGAGGTGAGGCCTCCAGAACTCTCATGGATGAGAGGCAGAACTCTCATGGATGGCTTTGTGCTGTCTTTGCAATAGTGAGTGAGTTCTCGTGAGATCTGTTTAAAAGCGTGTGGCAGCTCTCCCCTCTCTCTCGCTCCTGCTCTTGCTATGCGACATGTCTTCTCCTTCTTTGCCTTCTGCTGTGATTTTCACCAGAAGCCGAGCAGATGTTGGTCCCACGCTTTCTGTAAAGCCTACAGAACTGTGAGCCAATAAAACCTCTTTTCTTTATAAATTACTCAGCCGCAGTAATTCTTTACAGCAATGCAAAAATGGCCAAATACAGCAGGCAAGATATTTCAGAAAAGGTTTAGAAGGCAAAAGCAGATGAAGGCATAGTAACTGAGCAGAGAAAGCTTCTACCTAAGTGACTGCAAAAAGGGACTCTGAACCTAAGGGGAACAAAACAACTCATCCCACAGGTAGTCTGAAATGACTCTGGATTTGAAGATGCTACGTACCACTTAAGGCAGTGTCAGACGTGGGGTTAAAACTAAGCGTTTGCTTGAAAATCTTCAAACTGAGTAGTTGAGCCCAAGGGCTCTTCCTTCACCCAGACAGTAAGACAATCCTCCCTACTTTCCACCACCAACACTCCCAAGAAAGAATAAAAACAAAAAGCTAAAAAACATTCTCTGAAGATATTAAGGCTTTTGGAGAAATTGAATTTGAGATCAAAGGAATATCCACAGAGAAATGTCTGGAACATTGATAATCGGTCTGGAGCGCTAGATGGTAAAGACATAGGAGCCAAAAGATGACATCAATAGATTGGAAGCTATTACTTCAGAGGACTGACACTGAGGAGAACTGCAAACTTTGAGAAACATCTTCACGGAAAACTATTTAGCCAAAAGAAATCAATGAAGGAAACTGAAGGAAGTAGCCAGAGGTAGGAGTGGGACCAAGAAAGGACAATATCAAAGAAGCAAAGATAAACTAAAGAAAATTTCTGAAAACGAGAGACAGGCTTGAAAAAAAGAAAAAACTGTTTCAACCGGTTAAACAGAATGAGAACTAGGGAAAGGTTGCTGCATGTGGTCAGCAAAAGGTCACTGGTGAACATGAATGTAACTGGTTTCATGGAATAGCTTTCACTCAATCAGTGACTATGTACTGAGCATCCATGACACATGTGCCAGACACAGTACAAGGCTTCCAGTGTCAGAGGGCCTGGAAGAGACACAGGAGTCAGAGCAGAAATCATTAAGAACTGAACAATGCTTAAGACAGGCTGCACAAGGAATTTAGAGGTAAAAGGTAGGAGTAAAGCAGAATAACAGACTAAAAGGAAAGGAAACCAGATACAAAAAGAAAACAAAAACATTGTTTTAAGTTTCATATATTTAAAGAGAAACACAGGGACCTGATGCAAACCAGAAGGAGCCAGAGAAGATGGAGGGATAGCAGCAGTCAAGGCAAGGCCCGAGGAAAGGCAGTAAGGCACCAATACCACCGCACATGGTGTGGTCGAGGTGGGGGCTTGGGAACTTAGCCCTGCAAGAGAGAAAGGGATAAATGTTCATCTGACAGAGGTAGAAGAGAACAGGGCATAACACAAAGTAGACATGAATGAAGCAACAGTAAGTTTACAAGACAATGGTAGAATGTGGACTCAATTTCTGGAAGCATCTCCAGAAATTAGATATAAAAACTTTATTAACATAAAATACATATTCCAGTAGAAGAATAGATGTAAATGTCAGAAGTAGCCACCAATGTTAACAAAAGAGCAAATTTGTGTAGCATGTTAAGTGGTATTTTACGTATCAAAAATTTCATGATGTCCAAAGTTAATATAAAATGATCTGTTTAAAAATACAATTAATTTTTGTAGCTCAAACTTGTCTTGCAACCAACAGTCTGACATCATCACTTGGTATCTCAAGGTCAAATACAAAAGAAGACTATATAAGGTTATGTCTACATAAATCTGTTACAGTTCAGACTCAAGTGGGAAATGCTAAACATTTTTTCTCTTATCACAGAAAGCATTATACAATTCAGGTTAACAAGATAAAAGCATGGCAAAAAAATGCCAAATTGTATTGAAGTGCTATGTTTCAGAAAAGTTCGTTAGAAAGAAAACAAATGGTATGACTTCTGCCCCTTGTTAAATGAAAAATTTTCAGTTGAGACTGTTCAAACAGCAAGATAATAAATGCTGTTGTTAACTTTTTTTAAAGGCATGGCATTTAAAAAATTGTTGACGTTACCAAAATATGTATTTGTTATGATGTCTGGTAGCAGCAGTCCCTAAACAACTGGGTCTGTGTGGCTAGGCTAAAGAAATCCTACCAGTAGCTTCCAGAAGGTTTTTTAAAAAAAGTTACATGAGCCGGGCACGGTGGCTCACACCTGTAATCCCAGCACTTTCAGAGGCCGAGACGGGCAGACCACGAGGTCAGGAGATTGAGACCATTCTTACCAACATGGTGAAACCCCGTCACTAGTAAAAACAAAAAATTAGCCAGACATGGTGGCACATGCCTGCAATCCCAGATATTCGGGAGGCTGAGGCATGAGAATTGCTTGAACCCAGGAGGTGGAGGTTGCAGTGAGCCAAGATCACACCACTGCACTCCAGCCTGGGTGACAGAGCGAGACTCCATCTCAAAAAAAAAAAGTTACATGAGCTAAAATACACAGGATATTCCAGAAACAAAATGCTATGGTATCCTTTCTATTACGGGATAACTGAGTTTCCATATGTAAGTAACTTTATAGGCCTCAATTCACAAGAGAAACGGTCTCATGACTGCATGCTATCTTAGGGGCTGAGATGCCAAAATGAAATTCTCCTCAACATACAAAATAAGGTAAGAACGGACAGAAAACCTTGTTAGCATAGCGTCCCAGCTATTACATTTGCCAAATATATTACTGATTTCACAAAGATGCAACTTTCAGAGCCTCTGTAGGTGGAAAACAGCACTACTGGAAATAAGAGGCTGAATTTATCCAAGTTTGAAAACTGAAGATTTATTCTGGTGAAGGTATGCTACAATAAACCAGCAAGTATAGGCTGAATGGGGAAAGAAGCAGAGACCAAGAGAAGAAAAGGGAGCAAGGAACCCAGGAAGGTCTGGTAAAGATCAAGAGTGAGTACAGAGGCGATGCGGGATTAAGAGATGGAATGACAAAACCAGTAACCAAAGGACCTGGGCAGTTGGAGATCTCAGAAGTAACAGACTTCCTGTGAAACAACACAAGGGCAAGTTTCATTTATTGCCTTAGAAGTAAGAGTCTTGGCCGGGCGCGGTGGCTGACACCTGTAACCCCAGCACTTTGGGAGGCCGAGGCGGGTAGATCACGAGGTCAAGAGATTGAGACCATCCTGGTCAACATCGTGAAACCCCGTCTCTACTAAAAATACAAAAAAATAGCTGGGCATGGTGGCGCGTGCCTGTAATCCCAGGGCCTCAGGAGGCTGAGGCAGGAGAATTGCCTGAACCCAGGAGGCGGAGGTTGCGATGAGCCGAGATCGCGCCATTGCACTCCAGCCTGGGTAACAAGAGCAAAACTCCGTCAAAAAAAAAAAAAAAAAAGAAGTAAGAGTCTTGAGTAGGGCAACTCAAGGCATGGAAAAACCGAAAAGGCAGCAGCAGCTGTAAAGCCCACACAATGGTAAACCAGCAGGCTGACTAACAACTGATTGCAGAAGAGAAGTAGGTAAGACATTTTATAAAACCACCAAGAGGAGGATCTAGTAGCCAGACTCACAAAGGAGGGAAGAAAGGTAAGCAAGGTGATCTTCATTTTTTCATTTCAATAAATATTTATGTTTTATTATAATGGAGAAGGCAGAAATAAAAAATTAAAACAACTTTGCCTTTATAATGTGTAATGCACTTAGGCATTATATAGTTTTTTAGAATATTAAAAAGTGCCCCATATCAGTAATGAAGAATTGAGATGACTTTTTGGTCTTTCCAATGACTACGCTAATTTATTCTGAAATCCCCAGAAAGATCAAATTTTCTCCTTGACTGTCCCAAATCATGTGAAAAGAAAGCAACTGGGACCAAAAGCCATGACTGTGGGATAGATACCAAAACATGATCACACACCTAGAAACTGGAAACATCCAATTTCTAGAAAATCACTTATGAATAAAAAGAGGGATCACAAGGTTTAGTGATTTTCGAGGATTTTCCACTAGTCGTGGTGAATTGCCTATGTAGGTGTGTAGCTTAGCTACTTTTTGCGCTTGTCCTCTTAGAGAAGTCAAGAATGACATGCAAGCTAACCAAATGCATCTAACACAGAGCAATGACATGTAGAAACAGATTATTAACTTCTACCCTCCAAAAGCACTATTACTTTACAGCATTTCAGAAAACTCATAAATACCAGAACTTCCTAGGAAGAACAGACCATGGAGGTCATGTGATCAAACTTACAGATTAGAAAACAGAGACACAAAGAAATGAAATGCCTCAGCTGCAGATCACACAGTTGGCTAGTGACAAAGCCAAGAACACCTTTCTGCACACTCCCTTCCCAGAGCTTCCCCACCGGTCCAGACTCGCATCCCACACCTCCTGATGCAAGTGTTTGACAAAACTGCTCTGTATTTCCACAAAAAGTTTTTATACAGTGTTTCTTTTGAAATGTAAAATAAGATGACAGAATCTAAAAGAATTCACAGTAATTTAAGGTATTTGCTTGACATAAAATAATATTAATTTAAAACTATACCTTTACTGCGTCTGATGAAAGTACATTTTCCTTTTTCTGACTTGTGCTCATGGGTTCATTTTCAACACTGAAAAATAAAAACCACAGTTTCTTTTGAAATTGAAAGAAAATTACTAAACTAAAATTTTTCTGTATTTAAACCCAAACTGAAAGGTCCTTTATCTTCAATGCCCAAAGACTGATACACCATGTTATACCAAGAATAAATTGATTTGAATCTCTAAACTCAAAAAAATGCATTTAAAAATTTTCATCTAGGCTTCAGATATTTGTGTGAACTCACTGTGCCTCTTATTTTCTTCTACAGATAATCAACATCACAGTAATGATATATCTGAACAAAAGCGCACCTGTGTATTACTTTCATAACACTGGCAAGTGCTAGTACTCTAAGATATTATTTATGTGAAGCTTCCCCATAGTCAGATCTTTTTTTAATGCCTATGCTGGGTGTTATTTGGAACAGAATGCATTTCAATTCAGCAAATCACTGTAAACACATAGGTCCATCTAGTGAATTCTGGGAGTATTCAAAAATTGATGTAGGTTATGTAGCTCCAAATGTGTTCCAGATGGCACCTTACAATCTGATTTCCCAGATAGTTACTTCTAACTGTTTTGTCTGGAATACCCCCTCAGATGCCTTCTGGGATGTCATTATAAAATACTTCCCCAAGACACATTTAAGATGTTTTTTTTTTAGAGACAGTCTTGTTCTGTTGCTCACGCCGGAGTGCAGTGGTACAATCATAGCTCACTGTAGCCTCTAACTCCAGGGCTCAAGCGATCCTCCTGGCTCATCCTCCTAAGTAACTAGGACCACAGGTGCATGCTACCATGCCCAGTTATTTTATTTTTTGTAAAGATGGGGGTCTTGACTATGTTGCCCGGGCTGAACTCTTGGCCTTACATGATCCTCCCACCTTGGCCTTCCAAAGTGCTGGGATTACAGGCATGAGTCACTGGTACCCAGCTTCCAGATCTAAATATTTACGTCTCTGTTTATACATTATCCTGTTTTTATACTTTCATAATCCTAGACAAATTAAGTAGCTTCACTCTAAGGATTATTGCCAAGGACTGTGTTTAGCCTTAAGGATATAAAAATGAGTGGGTCAGGGCTTTTGCAAAACTCAGTCTAGTTGGAGAGACTAATATATAAACCTTAACAAAACAGTTTCATTAGAGTTATAAATGCTAAATGAACAAAATGTTATAGAGCATAAAAGAAATGAGGAACAACCAATTTTGCCTGTCCAGTAAAGTACCCTCAGAGGAGGTGCAAAAGCATGTGGTCATAGAGAATCAGGCATTTTCCGGACACCAAGTTGTATTTGTTTGCTTTTAATATAAATCTGGAGATCAGAACTTGCAAAAGATAGAGGTAATCCTCCAAGAGAAGAGACTGAGACCAAGAGTTTGTGGATAACAGACCATGAAGACTTGGCCTGACCCGTTACAAAATTTGACCTTTGTCCTATATGCAGTGAGAAGCTTCAACAAGGGGACAAGCATAAGCAGGAGGCGGACGGCGAGTGGGCTAGATGTGGAACCGTGGTCACTGGTGGTGAGGGCCCGGGAAAGAGGAAATATCAACAGCTCAGATCAAATCAAGGCCTCCCAAAGCAGATCGGATGGAAAGAGAAGTCACGATTTATGCCATTTAGATTTTTCTATCCATAAAAGTCTGTTATTATACACAGTATCCAAGCACAAATGGTCACGGTCAAAAGACGGAAACAAAAAATAAATCATGAACACCTGGAAAATACAATGGATTAAAATGTCATAAGTCTAAGACTTTATGCAGAAACACATGGACCAAAGAGATACAGCCAGACAGACCCTTAAAGCTTCTAAATGTCAATAGCAAAAGTATATGTAAAATAAATAAATAAATAAATAAATAAATACAGCTGTGTGCTAAACACATTAAAAATTCTATAGAAAAAGTCAGGAACAAAATCAGGAACAAAACAATAGAAAACACTGTACAATACAGAATTGTAACCTGTACATGTATATAAAATAAGAATGTCTTATAGTTGCTACTTTAAAAGTAAGTTCTTACCTCTTTTTTCTATTTTACGAGTCTTTATCTTTTGCCAAAGATTGCTTACAATTCAGTTTTTTTTTTTTTTTTTAAGTAAATGTGAATTAATGTTGGTCTATTTAAGCTCCAATTAACAAAAAAACCCTGGCAAATACGTGTAAAGAAATCATGTTACAAAGATTTGGGGTATAATTAACAATAATGCTGACCTTGGCAGGGTGTGGGGGCTCACGCCTGTAATCCCAGCACTTTGATGGACCGAGGTGGGTGGATCACCTTAGATCGGGAGTTCGAGACTAGCCTGACCAACACAGAGAAACCCCATCTCTACCGAAAATACAAAAGTAGCTGGATGTGGTGGTGCATGCCTGTAATCCCAGCTACTTGGGAGGCTGAGGCAGGAGAATCACTTGAACCCCGGAGTTTGAGGTTGCAGTGAGCCGAGATCACACCATTGTTCTACAGCCTAGGTAACAAGAGCAAAGCTCCATCTCAGAAAAAAAAAAATAATCATAATCATAATACTGACTTTGACAAGTGAATTTTCTAACTACAATTTATTTTGAATGATCTACCTAAAAACTATCTATACATACAACATCTAATTTCAGTCTCCTAGTTCATGCTTCAAGATTCCTGAAATTCTGCTTCATTTAGTATGTTTACAGGGTTTTCTATCAACATACTAAGACTGTAAATAAAAATGGCAAAAGTTTCTTTCCTAATAAAAAAGCTCTCCAGAAAATGCAGTTGTGACTTCATGAGATTATGGCAGAACTCAGTTTTTTCAAGTTGCTGTAATTACTTCCAAACGCAAACTACAAACACACACACAAATTCCAGAAAAACACAGCAATAAATCAGCATTAAGTATTGAGAAAACAATGGAAGAATTTAAGTTAAAATCACCAAAAGAAATATTACTTGACATTTCTTAAAACTCTAACTTATTTCCTATAAGTTACATGATTCTTATTGCTAAACTGAAATTTTAAAATGTGTTGAGTTTTAAAGCAAACAACAAATTTTAAAATTTTGGTTGACTGATATATCAGTGCTCTTATTAAAATGTCAACACATTTTAATACTTCTACATTAAGTATTCTTAGCATAGATAACGTTATTCATGCCCTAGCTGCAGATACAGCTGGTACCTAGAACCACTTGACATCACTAGAATATACCAAAGTTTATAGTCCTGCAAATCACTTTATTCTGCCACCCGCAGCATTCTTCCCCACCCTAATCAACTCTAAATCCTTAGCAGATAATCTATACCAACCAATAATCTATATCTATAGCTAATAATCTATAATCTATATCCACCAACAGCAGATAATCTATAACCAGGCCAGAAGCAGTGTGGCCTGTAATCCCAATACTTTGGGAGGCCAAGGCAGGCAGATGGCTTAAGATTAGGAGTTCAAGACCAGCCTGGGCAACATGGCAACCTTGTCTCCATTAAAAAAAAAAAAAAATTAGCTGGTACGCATCTGCAGCCCCAGCTATTCAGGAGGCCCCCGTACTCTACCTGAGTAAAAGAGTGAGACCCTGTTTCTAAATAAATAAATAAATAAAAATCTATAACCATATATCCATTTGTGCCTGCTTACCTTCAACAGAAACACTATTACATTGGGACAATGTAATAATACACATTAGACTTCTTTTCTTAAGGGGGTAGTACATGAGTCTATTGAAGGAATACGCCAGCCATTCCTACCCTCTCTAAAACCATTAAATGGGGAGGGGGGCTGGTGGGAGAAAGTTACTCAACAAGAACAAGGTCATTTTCAGTTGATTTAAAAATAAAACAAAACACCACAAAATGAGAACATAGTAGCTAAATATACTCAAAAAACAGTGAATACTTAGATGTCTGCTTAGTACAAATATAAAATAAAAAGATCAAAAAACTTGGCGTGATATTTTCAGTCTCTTAAAAAATAAATGCAAAGGAAAGAGAAACCTGTTCAACTCTAATTTCATAAGAAACCACAATCCGTTCCTATTGTTTGCTCACAATTTAACCCCCTTTGGGACCCAGGGTATTTCAATTAGGAATATTTTTAGAAAGCACACATTTTACTCATGGCAGGGGGTAAAGAGCAGAATTCAAAATCACAGGTAGGCACAAATAAAACCACTCTGCATTTCTAAATAGCCTCATCTTAGCTAACAGAACATTAAGAATTAATGTTAATTAATTAATTTTTCAAAATAGCTCAAATATGAAGGTCAATGGAACACAAAAGTTCCTCATTTTTCAAGCAACTTTATTTGGACCATGGCTGAAAATGAATCCAACACATAGCCATTTAGTTTTTATGTAATTTTCTGCCAGACATAAAATATTTTTCATTGGCAATGAAAAAAAGGGTGACTTTAACCTTCTAAAGTTCAAATAATTTACATAAAGGAGAGCTCCTAACCTGTTACTTAGGATATATTCTTTTCTTAAAATTAAATTTTGACGAGATTTCCGCTGCAGATAAGCAGCGGAAAACTGGGCCCAAGAACTCACTCACCCACTCAACAAATGAGTAGTGCACATATGTACGTGTCAGGCACTGTTCTTGAGGCTGGGGGTCACATGATGTACAAACCAGACAGGGTCCTTGCCCTCACTCTTTCAGAACTCATGTCTATATGCATCAGAATCACCTGTGGCAACTATGTTTCTGAAAACGATTTCTGGGCCTGTCAAGGAATCCAACCAGAATGGGGCCCAGGAATCTACATTTCGAGCTACAAATTACCCTTTACCCCAAGTTGTTCTAATGCAGGTAGCCCTCTAACCCCGTTCTTGATAAACAATGGTCTGAGAGCCTATCTTTTTTTTTTTTTTTTTTTTTTTTTTTGTCTTGCTCTGTCACCAGGCTGGAGTGCAGTGGCGCAATCTCGACTCACTGCAACCTCCACCTCCTGTGTTCAAGCGATTCTTCCGTCTCAGCCTCCCGAGTAGCGGGGACTACAGGTGCATGCTACCACACCCAGCTAATTTTTGTATTTTT